GGGGGGGGGGGGGGGGGGGGGGGGGGGGGGGGGGGGGGGGGATCCGCAAGGTGGTAATTTTGTTGATAAGATAAATTTATTTGTATAATTCAACCCACTGCATCAGATGTATGCGAGATTTATTTGTAATCAAATCCTAACATGTGCGCAATTTTTGGAATGAGTGGTAACAAGATTTGAATTAACTACTTTACCATTTTAAAATTGGACATGATAAAATTAGGAATCCAATGGGTTGGTGAAGAATTCTGATCATGGATGGGATATGGCTTATGTGATCTTTTCTTAACTGAAAAGGACATTTTGATTACAAAAATCCATCCTTGAATTTCATAGATAGTGGATCAGCATAGATTATCACAATCTAATATGGATATGGAGTGTTTATGAACCTCTTTACCCATGTCTTCTTTCTTTTGCTAAACTATATTGATGCTTTCCTGTAGGTTCGTTCATTTGGAAAATGTTCTTGAAAATTGGATCTTTTCTCTCCTGCAAACGTGACTGAATGTTGTATTCTCTCCAGTAACCTTAGTCCGTTGCCTAAACTACCCGATCTAGCCTCCACCAACGCCATCCATCCATCGACGACCGGTCATATACTTTCTATCAGTCTCACGCTATCTTATAGTGACCCAACCACTTTTCTTCCACTTCCACGGTAGCCTTAGGTGCTGCCCCTAGCATCGCCGCCTGCTCTGGCGACCTTCTATTGTCGGTGAATGCTGTCAAGGGGTCATCGACCATGTGCAACCCCATCCCTGTCTTTGGTGTTGACCACGACCCTTTGACGTTGACCAAGAGCTTCTGGCTTCCAATCGATCCTCTACTGATGGGACCCATCTTGTCGGACCTCCTACGCCAGCATTTGTTCCTCCTGCTGAAGATAGATAGACTATTGGGGCCTCTCGTTGAGCCTTCTACGTTCAGGGTGCTCCGTGCCATCCATGACTCGGGTGGTGTACTAGAGTGTGCCACACACACACCCCTAGGACTACACGCGCTCCTCCTGTTGTTGCTGGCTCATCCCGACCCTCTAATTTGCCATTTACTACTCTATTGACATAGAGCCAGGATATGGTGTTGCACTTTCTACTAAACCTATCTCTCAAGCCGAACGTAGTCAGATAATGTCTTTCCTCAGGCTCTACAGGATTTGACGGAGGATGCCTTTCTTTCCGAGCCATATAAGTACACACTTGGCAAGTTCTCTCATCGCAAACCTTCGATGATTAAGCCCTCATAGTATATTGATGGTTGTCCCAAGCATGTTATTAAGTGGACACCTAGCTTTAGTCCTACACATGAGACTCCTATTGTTCTCGTCTGGGTATCTTTTCCTTTATTGCCTATACATTTTCGTGCCAAGGGGTTTTAATTGCACTTGCTAAGGCCATTGGGTTTCTACTTCATATTGAGGAACCCACTTTGGATTTACGTTGGCCTAATGAGGCTTGCGTATGTATTGAGGTCAATCTTCAATTTGAGCTCCCTGAGCGTGTTTGGATTGATAGGGAGCAAAATATGGGGCACTAAAAGACTGTCTTGTATGACAAGAAGCTAGAATATTACTTTAGATGTAGGCACTTAGGACATATTGATGATCGCTGTTTGGATGGAAGGTCCCTTGTCCCACCTTCAGATCCCCCTGTTGATGTTGTCCCTTTTTGAAGCCTACTTTTGATCAGGCTAAGGATCTTGTAAGCGGAAGGATGTGATTGTTGAACCTCCTAAGCAGTGGGTGCCGATTTCTCAGGCAGCTAGAAGGAAGCATGTGGCTAATCATCAGGGACACATATTCAGTCATTTGCCCCCATTTGAGGCTCCATCAATTATTGCTACTCCTTTAATTCCCCATACTGCACCTTCTCCAGTGGCTTTTACAGTTATAACATCATCTTCAGCTATGGTCCCTTTAGTGATTGAGCTTATTTCTGTCATTTGCCCCCATTTGAGGCTCCATCAATTATTGCTACTCCTTTGATTCCCCATACTGCACCTCCTCCAGTGGCTTTTACAGTTATAACATCATCTTCAGCTATGGTCCCTTTAGTGATTGAGCTTATTTCTGTGTCACCTATAGTTATTTGTGCAGTTGCTCCACCTCTGATTCATATCCCGGTTATCAGCTCCGCACATACTGATAAATATGATCTATTACTTGAGGATATTATGCAAAGACCACAGTTACTAATCTTTGATGATAGTTATTGTTAGTTAGGATATCTATACTTCTACTCAGAATCCAGGTATGGTTCCAATACCTGCCTTTATGGCACATGTTCCATCTATTCCATTTGAGCATATTATACTGAAGCATGTTGGATTTTATGTGCAATATTAAAGAGAAGAAAACGAAAATCAACACAAGAATTTTACGTGGTTCGGCGGTGTGCCTACGTCCACGAGAGCGAAGCGGAGATTTCTTTATTCAGTTAAGCGCTCCGCTCCTCTCACTCCACTCCGCTCCGCGCCGACATCGACCCATTTGATCCAAGACCTGTGTTCCACTCTATATGAGCCACATGTACAACAATCTGCACATTGGCGAATATTCACCCCTTAGGAGAAAAAACATAACCTGGAAAAAACCACACCATCTAGGACCAATGGGTTGGGACACATTCTCTCTAACGCCTAGAGATGTTAATCAAGTTCAAGCAATGCTTGAACCTATCCATTGTGATTGGCTTTGTTATCATGTCTGTTGCATTCTCTGAGGTATGCACCTTCTCTAACAACAGCTCTCTTGAAGTAACCAACTCTCTTATCTTATGAAATCTCACATCAATGTGCTTGGTTCTTGCATGATAAATCTGATTCTTAGCTAGGAAGATGGCGCTCTGACTATCACAGTACAGCTTCATTCCATCTTGCTTGATCCCAAGTTCTTTGACAAGCCCTTTTGGATCAAGTTTGGATCGCTGATCACTAGATACATGCACATACGCCGGACAACCAAATACTCTCAATTCAGAATAATCAACTTCATTACCTGTCCAAACTTCCTCTGCAACTTTCCCATCTAGTGCTGCTCGTGGTGATCTGTTTATGATATAACATGCCATGTTCACTGCTTCTGCCCAAAAACTCTTCGAGAGCCCTGCATTCAGCCTCAAACATCTTGCCCGTTCTGTAATTGTTCTGTCCATCCTTTCCACAACACCATTCTGTTGCGGTGTCTTGCGAACTGTATAGTGCCGCTGAATACCATGCTCCTCACAAAATCTCAGAAACTGTAAATCTGTATACTCTGTACCGTTATCTGTCCTCAGATACTTAATTTTTCTGCCAATCTGGTTCTCTACTTCTGCTTTCCATAATTTGAACTTGGCAAAGGCTTCAGACTTGTGCTTCATGAAATAAACCCAAACTTTTCTAGAGAAGTCATCAATGAAAGTAATAAAATACTGAGATCCACCTTTGGACAACTCCCTCACTGGTCCCCAAACATCTGAGTGCACGTAATCAAGAATTCCCTTTGTCTTGTGCTTTCCCATCTTTAACTGTACTCTGGACTGTTTTTCAAGTACACAGAACTTGCAGAAATTCAGCTTGCATGATTTCACCCCCTTCAACAAATTCCTCTTGTGAAGCTCAACCATGTCACGTTCTCCTATATGCCCCAGTCATAGAAGAGTGTCATCTGACTCAGATTCTGCTGTAGCAACTCCACCTACAACTGTATCCCCAAGTAGTTTGTAGATATTCCCTACTAATTTCTGACCCTTCATCACAATCATAGCCCCTTTCTTTACTGTTAGAGTCCCACACTCTGACTTATAAGAGTAACCATTTGTGTCTAAAGTGCCTAAAGAAATTAGATTCTTTTCAACTCAGGTACATGCCTAACATTTTCCAAGGTCCTTATCACACCATCGAATATTTTAAATTTTATGGACCCCATTTCAATGACCTTACATGATGCATCATTACCCATCAGAACAGATCCAAAATTACCAGAACGATATGAATGAAACCAATCTCGGTGAGGATACTTGATATGAACAGGCTGAATCAAATACCCAACAGTCATTTAATTTTATAGAATTACCTGCAGAGACTGATAACATGTCTCCATCTCCAGAATCCGAGTCTCCTTTTGCAACACTAGCTGAGTTTGAGGACCCACCACCTTTCCTTTCATCACTCTGCTTCTTATTGGGACAGTCTCTCTTAAAGTGGCCCATCTAATGAGATTTGTAGCACTTCACGTTTTTCTATTTTGATTCCTAGATTTTGATCTTGTGTTCCCTCTAAAAGAAACACCTTTATCCTTCCTTCTCCCACGATCCGGGTAGCCCTTTACGATCAACCCTTCACCCTGTGAAGCTTTACCAGTACGCAGTTTCCGCTGGTTGTAGGCTAACAGGGCTGATGTGACTTCCTCCAATTCGAGAGTCTCTTTACCCCACGTCAACGTGGTTGCCAGATGGTCGTACGAAGGAGGCATCGGCCCATTTGATCCAGGACCTGTGTTTCACTCTATATGAGCCACATGCACAACATAGCACTTCATAGATCAAGGTCTATCAGCAGGGCTCGTTTCGCAGGTCTTCTTTCGATGATTTGGTTGGTCTGGCTGGTAGAGGAAAGGATACTGGTTTTATTCATTATTCGCAGAAGAACCCAAGGGCTACAGATGCTCAATATCTTGTCTCTAGGATTTGAACCAGGAGTTGATCAATTGATACATCCTCGCATTCCTTGTCTTTATAGGTGTCCTTATATAGAATGCCCGGGGTGTAGCTAGCATAGCTACTCGCAGGCATCTGAAGAGTCTAATTCTGTTTCATTAGGTTTATTTTTGATGATCTTGGCGTCATTTCTTCTTTAGGAAAGTTTTGACTCTTCGACGATTTCTTCACTACGATACGGGAGTTTATAATGCGCTGATTAAGATTTGGTGTTTCTAGAATGTAGGGACCATTACGATTGTACTTGTTGATCATCCCCAGTTCCTTTTTGTTAAGAGTAGAGGACCACAAACTAGCACAACCTTTTCTATATCTCCGATGTATGCTTCTTGTTCTCCTTCCATTAGAAAGGTCTTGTTGGCGGATCTTCACCACATTTCACTCAATGTGGATGGCCCATGGCTAGTTTAGGGAGATATTAACGTTATTGTCCTTGATGATGAGTGCATGGGGCATAACACGTGCGATGGGGGTACTGCCGACTTATCTGACATGATGATGGATTGATGTCTTGAGAATGCATTATTCTTTGGGGTTCATTGTACTTGGACTAATGGTCTTATATGGAAGAAGTTGGATAGAGTGCTCATTAATTCTGTAGCTGCATCTTTTTATCGATGGCTTTCTATAAGACATCTGAATCACACTTCATCCTATCATGTCGACAGTTAAGTTGTTGTGGAAGTGAAATTTGTCTATATTCTCCGATGCTTTTGACACCTGAAGAATGATTTGATTTTATAGAGATCACTGTAGTGCATTGGTGGTTGGGATTGTGTTTGTTTGATTTATTTATTTATTTTTATTTTTAATTTGCTCTAGGGTGTTCTTCATTGGATTCCTTTGAATAATTGGCATCATAGTTCTTGGGCGCTTGTGCTAATTAAAGTGTTTGTTTCACTTTCTAATGTAATTGACAGGTCACTTTCATATTCCTTTCTTGTGCTCAATATAATGCCGTTGTTTGGCCTCTATTTTTTCAAAATGCATTTTCAACTACACGTCTCATAAAATAATTTTACACGTAAATTCAAAACATTTCCTTATTTTTTAACCACACATTATCCAACAAAATACTATTTCAAAATGCATTTTTGTCCAAAAAGGGGCTCAAACGGGGGCAATATCTCTTCCTCTCCCCACCCCACCCCACCCCTAGATAGAATTTAAAAAAATAATAATAATAATTCCCATAAAGAATAAAGACAAGGCTTCTCGTAAAGTAAACTTGATGTCGGGATATTCCATGTTTTAACAGTCTAAAGGCCAATGCTATATAGGGTGCCAAACACCATTTAGTGATTGGAGCCGAAGCATGTGTTTGGGCTTTCTATTGACAGCCAAATAAGCGGTTAATTAATGCACTTCTGTGTGTCGTTGAAGTCACCTTTCAAGTTATTTGCTAATGTTTTATTTATCTTGAGGTTCTTCTGACCATTTTTATTTAATATGATCAAATGTTACAGTATACTCTTTCTTAAATTTGTGTGTCCGTATGCTAAGTATCTTTCTTGTTCTTTGCAGTTCAAGGGACACAATTGTTCTCACCCTGAGATTTTTCATCATAAAGGTGGAGTCTTTAGTTTCAAGCACTTAATTTTACATAGTATATGCGAGACATAGTGTGCCATTCTTTTATACTCGGGTTCCAAATTAAATTCATCAGTTCCCTAAAGTTATCTAATGTTCCTTCTGAATTCAATACTTTCTTTAATGATTCCTTATCGGGCCACATGGAAATGATACACTATTTGTATTTTTACCAATTGAAAGTAAGGAATTGATGGCTCCACATTTTACTTGTTGAACGGGTCAAGGAACAAATTAAGAAACTAGATTTGAAGTCTTCATCTTTCTCTCCTATCTGAATATCTTTGCTAAGTAGAACTACCTTATTTAAATATCGATGGGGGAGGTATTGCACTAATAACTGCTGGAGCCTGGAGAGTATGGAATTCATGTACTGGGAAGAAGCTCTTCATTTTTGATTAAGAAACTGGCCTGTTTGTACATTGTGCTTAGTAGGATCTGTTCTACTAATGTGTAAGCTATAGAACCTCTGTAATTAAAATGGCTTATGGTTCTGTGACCTGTTTATACTCAGATAGTAGAAAAGATGTGACAGAATTTATCAGATTTAGCATTCTGACATGTAAAAACATCCTCAAAAGCATCATAGGAAATGCGATTACCTTATATACATTTTTCAGAAGTCATTTGGTGAGTGATGGAGTGAAATATAGTTTTAGATTCCGTACATTTTAGCTTGTGTGGGTTAACACTCTACTATACTTTTTCAAGGATATAGGATATTTTTACTTGCATAACTTTCTTGATGATGTAGCATATTTAAATATTTGTTAATGTGCAGAGAACTAATAGTACAAAATATTGTTCTCCTTCCATAAACTTCACATGTTTTTTACCCAACGTTTATTTATCCATACATAAAGTCTTGTGGAGACGTCCATGTGTAGAGAAGGATATTTGCTTCTCTTATTCTGGGTCTGATTACCTAAAATTGTCTAGTCATTTTGGTTCTTGTTTTACATGTTCTATGTAATTTGATACCTTGATATGAAGGGGGTGGGGTGGAGGGGTTAGGTAGAGGGAGAGGAAGAGAGAGGTGTGCAGTCTGACCCAATCCACCCTGGGGTTCAGAAAGCACAGTGAGAATCATGAGTCACCTTTGAAGGCTCGCCTTGAAAACATTTTTGCTCAAATTGAAGCTCACCAATTCATATTACTACCTAGGTTAAATGGAAAGAATTTTTTTCTAGTTCTTAGGCGGCGAAGCTCTTCATAAATGGTAGAAGAAAGATTTGTCTGTTGGACGCTACAGAAGTGGGTTTCTCGACTTGGTATGCAAAGAATTCCATGGTTATATGCTAGTTAGTTAACACCATGGAATTAGATATTATAGTTTTATTTTATTTATTTATTTTTTCCTTGTCAAATATGAAATACTAGTGGGGGAGAATGATGCATTTATGCTCAACTTTGGCGTGAAGTATCAAGTTCTTGAGATAAAGCCTGTCATTATATCGGCGGATTCTACTATAATGCTAAGACTTGTTCATGGCTAGAGATGGATCTTTATGCTGATTATGAGGGAGATGTCGTCTAAGATAGTAAGATTCAAGCAAATACAAAAGAAGGATCGGACTTTAAAGTTCTGGGGGGGCCTAAACTATTGCTACAATGAAATTTGTGGAAGGATACCTAGGATCTCCTGCTGACTGCTGTCGTTGTGGGAGCTTTATGGCAATGTTATGAGGGAGGCAAGAAAGCAAGCTGACATGTGATGCTTAGATCCCTAAATATTGAAGTTTGTGTATTGTATAGTACATAGCTGGTATGGATCTGGCAAGTATTTATAAAAATGTCAGGAAGAATAGGGATGGAAAGGACAAATTGTGATTTGATATTTATCACAAGTCTCAGCACGCTATAGAGAGACTTATTGGATAATACATGGAAATCCACAGAATTGGGTTAAGGGAAATAAGTCTTTAAATTGGTTGACATAGGTTTTAAGGGCAACTGATCCAACAAAAGAACCAGTGTAACTCCACTGAGACTTTTGAATCTCCTTTCTTCACTAATTTAACTTGTCTAACAATTATACATATTGATGTACCAAATTAAATACTCTTTTTTTTGCCTCTTATTCTTCCAAATTTCCGAGAAATAATTGTTTAAATGCTCTAAATGTTAAAAATCAAATCCTTGGATAGTTGATTCAGGTATGTCCAATTTGTTTATTATTACAGAATTATGTCATCAAATGCTAACTAATATCTGAGTTCACTTGGACCTATGGAATTGACGAACAGGTGACATATTAGAACTGGAAGTAAATATGATTTCTACACAGGAACTATTGTCCTTAGCAGCTAATCTAGAGTGGACTTTACATCAACTGGATAGGAAAAATCTCTCTTTTAGAAAGACAAAATGTGCAAATTGAAATGATCTCTCTAGGGTTTGAAGCATCTTAGAAACAGGCTTTGAAATGATTAAAAAGTGTATTCATAAATATGGTAGACACTGGCAACTTGATCATACATGCTCTATAGACATGCCAAAGATTGAAAGTTGTCATTCTTAGACACTGGCAACTTGATCATACATGCTCTTTAGACATGCCAAAGATTGAAAGTTGTCATTCTTATATTGTATGTTGATAATAATGCTATAAATGGTGATGATGTGAAGGAAGTGAAAATCTAGAAAGTCCTCTTTCCCATGTAATCAAAATTAAAGATCTAGGGTATATAAGTTATTTATTAGGTATTGAACTGCTGGATTCGAACAAGAAATCTTTGAGTCTTAAAAGAAGTACTTGTTCGATCTTTCAAGTTTCAATAGATGCAACATGTACGGTTTCAAGGTAGCAGTATTCCCATGAATGTGAATTACAGCTTCTTGGCACCATTCGAAAAAGTTAGTTGATAACGAAATGGAATAAAAGGTTGTGGGCGAACTTATTTATTTGTCTCACCCCAGACCCGTTATTTCTTTCGCAATAAGCGTAGTCAAACAGTCCATTCTCTCTCCCGCCTAGTTCCTGTGGAGATTTAAATGACTTCCGAGATAAAGGTTTGTTTTTCTCCAATAATAATCATCTAGGTGAGGAAGCACATTATGATGTGACACAAGGATGGCTCTCTTACAGTAAGTCAACTTTGGGTTATCACTATTGGTCGTAATGTAGTAACTCAGGGAAGCAAAAACCAATAATTGGTTTCTAGATCTAGTTCAGAAGCAGGATTTCGAGGCTATGGCACGAGATTTGCAAGCTGCAGCCAAGGTTTCTTTAGTTAGATAGCTGCTAACAATCACGTGAAGCTTAATTGTGACAATAAATTTGCCATCAAATAACACGTAATCATGTTCAACATGATAGGACAGAACAGTTGAGATTGATACTTGCTTCATCAAGGAGAAAATGGTGAATGGCCTTACATGCTCTCCATGGTCCATATGATTGTTCAAGGAAACAGTTAGAAAATAAACTTAGTAAGAGGCTAGCAATTCAAGTTTTATGCTCATAGGAAGCACGTTGTGTTTGATGGACATCTTACGAGCTTGATGAGAGGAAACTGGTACCTTGCAAGTCTAATCTCTACTTTTTATGGCAAAACTTCCCCTCTAGCTTACGCGCTGTATTTATGATGCTTTTATGCCCCCTTTTTATGAACCATGCTACAATACCAGGGCCATAGGCCCTGGTAAAGGGGAATTACCCTTTCTTTATATATAATCAAGTGGTGGTAAATGGTCTCGCATCGCAATGCATTGATGTGTTTTAACATAAATGCGCAGGCTGGTGAAAAGAAGAAAGGGAAGAAGAGAGGTCTATTCTCCAAAAAGTAAACAATCTTTATCTACATACAAAAGATATCCATTGTAATGCATAACTATTTTAGAGTTTTTAGAGTTTTCGAGTAGTTTGTACAAGAATTTTTATTATCATCACTACAAGATATCGATTCTTGTTGGTTTTCCATTTCTGTTTGTGTTGTTACTTGAATAGATAGGTTTTATACACACTTCATCTTTACATTTATATTACTTGGTAAAAATGATGCATGTTCAAAAGCCTAATCGAGGTATGTTGTCCCCATTTCCCTGCGCCCTTTGTTGTCCATCACTAGAACTTTGACACATCATTGAATTGGATAGTGTTAGCAAATAGCAGGACGACATTTCAAAGGTGATATCACTTGGTTGATGTATCATCATCCTGCTATTTGCACCATAGTGATTTGTCAAAGTTCTGTTAGGGGTTAGCTAAAGAGTAGATCTCAACTCGTTTCAAGCCCTCGTTTTACTTCTAAATGATTGTGCCTTTGATTGAAGTTATGCTACGAGCCCGTGACCTCGGATTTGGCAAAGTCCTATCATGAGTCGATGTTATTGTTGAAGCAGCTAGTAGAAAATCGAAATAACTGGTTTAAGTACACCTCCAAATATCGTCCATTGATGTCCAACTTTATTCCAAAAGTCCCGACGTCAAGTTGGCCAGCATGTGTAATAAATAGTAACGTGTTCTTAGTCAAATTTCGAACATATTTAGCCTCCGTTTGAGCCATGTTAAATTTATTTTACATATTCCTCTTTTTTTTAATCACACAGTCGTCAATAAAAAAAAATATTACACTTAAACCAAAATCTATTCTTTTTTTATTAACCACGCATTCTTTGAAAACACATTATTCCAAAAGTTATAACATCAAACAATAGGGGCCAAACAGGGGGGCTTAAACTCGACTTTACATGTTCCTCTTTTATTTTAATTTTTTGGTATGTTTAATTTTCATTTTGTTTGTGTAAATATTTTCGTTTCTTTAAAACAAAGAATGGACAAGAATTTAAGAGCTTGTTTGGTGTGGCTAAAAAGTCTATTAAAATTAATTTTTAACTATTATTTCACTATTATGTCCGTCATTTTTGAATTCTTCTCTTACAGGTATGATTTACTTTATCTCTGATGGTCAAAAATCAATTATCAAAATTCCTACCAAATAAGCACTAAATGTATAAATACGTCAAAACTAGCTGATAAACCTTTGGGACATTTTTAGCACGTTCTATTCAGATTGGATGATAATTCTGGTCCTCATTAATTGTAAAATAAATTATTTTCTTTTTAATTTTCAACTATACATTTTTCAATAAAATAGTATTACATGTAAATACAAAATTTTTCTTTATTTTTTAGTCATACATTTTTCATCAAAAATACTATTTGAAAATGGATTTTGAGCCCAAAAAGAGAGAGGACGTAAAAAAAGTGTAAACACGAAATTCTTTAATATTTAATTTCAAGATTTACTTAGTAAATAAAATAAGAGAATTATTTCAAATCCTACTTTTTAAGTTTCAACTTCATAATTCAGGTAATAATTTTTTTTTTTTCCTTTCAAATTTCAAACATCAAGTAATTATTTCAAATCCTACGTTTTAAGTTTCAACTTCATAAATCAGGTAATAATTTTTTTCTTTCAATTTTCAAATATCAAGTATATCTCTTGACACTTCATCCCACCCCATCTATCATTCAAATTTTCTAGCAACAAAAACTCGTTCCTTTGCTTATTCCTCCACCTTCACTTTCGGCGTAAACGAGTCGAGATCTTGAAATCTTCTAATAGAAATATATTTTATAATTCAAAATTTCCAGTAGATCTTCCCTCAGCCTCTTGAACTCTGGGAATTCAATCACTGTTCAATCCCCTTTTCTCTCGGAATAATGCTATTTGCAGTCGCTCACTACAGCAGTCGCCCTACGTGGCATACACATGGCAGGTAGTTATTTTATGTATTAATGAATAAAAAAATTACCACATTAATGTATTAAATAATCACCTACCATGTGTATGCCACGTAGGGCGACTGCCGTAGTGAGCTACTACGAATAACATTACTCTTCCTCTCGCAACCTTTTCTTATTCAACTCTTCCATATAATATATTAAAAAAATAAAAATCATATAAATATTTGATTAGTATAAAATTATTCAATTAACTTGTCACAATATATTTATTTTCTTAAACAATTCAAAGTCTAATATTCTCTTGGAAAAAGAAAATTGGCGACTATTTCATCTGTGTTCCGAAAGATGTTCTAGTTCTAATTTTTCTTCTTATCACAAACGAATTCATTGGAAGGTAATAATTTTCTATATGGTTGTACGTGTACTATAAATCAACAAGGTGGAATCTTTAATATAATATCATTTCGTTATGCCTGCAAAAATTATTTTATTTTCAAATAATTTTTTCATTGGGATTATGACACTAACTTCATCATTATTTCGTTGCGTGGATATACACGCTCTTTGCGTTCTTTCATTATGCCTACATCTGTATTCTGCTAGAATACCTGCTATTTTATTCAATATGATCTTTAACGTATGGCAATATTTACAGCAACATTTTTAAACTATGAAGTGCATGTCAATATTTACAATTGAATATTTATGATATATATAATTTATTAAATAACATACATATATTTAACATGTATCGTGTATGTCTTACACCAAGATTATCGTCTAGTTCTTTATTAGTATAAACATGTCACTTACCATACATCAACTTGTAGTTTAAACACGTCACTTACCTATGAAAGAAAGACTTGGGACAAGTAAAGAAAAATCCTTGGCATAAGATTCAGTCGTGACAGAAGTGCTAAGAAGTTATATTTGTCACAGGAGGGCTATATTAAGAAAGTGCTTGAGAGGTTCAGTATGGATAAAGGCCAAATTGGTTAGCTTTCCTCTTGCTACCCACTAAAAATTGAGTATTGAGCAATATCCTATATAATGTAAAGGAAGATATGGAAAGAGTTCCTTATGCCTCAGCAGTAGGAAGTTTGATGTCTGCGATTGTTTACACAAGACCTGATATAGCCCATGAAGTCAAATCCAAGAAGAGAGCATTGGAATGAAAGTAAGTGGATCATGAGGTATCTTTGATGCACTTCCAGTTTGATGGTTTTAGAAATGGACAATCCTTGTTAGTTGGCTACAAAGATGTTAGATATGATAGGGGATGTGGATACATGTAAGTCTATATGGAGTTATTTGATTACTTTTGCAAGTGGGATTGTAGCTTGGCAATCAAAACTTCAAAAGTGTATTGCCCTTTCTACATCAAAGGTAGAGTTTATTGTTGCAAAAAGAGGTGACTAAAGAGTCGCTATGGGTAAAAAAGTTCATAAGAGAATTTGGTTTCAAAACAGCAGAGGTATGTGTTATTTTCTATAGCCAGAGTACTATTCATCTTGCTAGAAATTCTAGCTTTCATGCAAGATAGAAGTATATTGATGTACATTGGATCAGGGATGCATTGAATGATTAGATATTGAAACTTAGAAAGTTCATACCGATCGTAATGGTTCTGATATGTTGACGAAGACACTAACAAATAAAAACCTTGAAGATTGTTGTTCGATTGCTAGGATGGTTAATTCATCCTTATAGTTGGAAGGGGGAGTTTTGTTAGGTTAATTTCTCTTATGAGGAGGAAATCCCATTTTTGGGATCTTATATTATAGCCCAAAGCCCATTCGGGTTTTAATCTTAATGATGAATATAAATAGTGGAAATTACATAAAATCATAATTTAATTATTCATAGTTCCCAAATCAGAGTGGAAGTTTAATATTTCAGTAATTAGATTTTTTTTGTTTATTAATTATTTTAAAATTATTTAATAACTGTTTTCCCTAAATTCACGTCTTTTAAATTTTGGAAACTCTATATTCATTAAAACCTCCATACACGTCATTTCCATAAAACCCACGACTTTCTTGTATCCATATTTTACGATTACAACCGCCATTCACCCAAGCCATATCCTGCCATTCACCCCTGTTTGTTCACACGCGATTCCCCGACAACCTTCATCCACTATCGTGTTTGTATATATTTTATACGTTCCTTCCAAAAAAAAAGGTGGTCATAGTCGAACCGCAATCTTCTAAGATTTCAAGAATGACTCGTTCAAGGAGTGATAAATGAGGGGAGAAAATTGAAATCCATGAATCAAGAGGAAGAGGTAAAAGGAAGGTGGATGAAGTGCAGAAGGATTCATCCTCTAAAAGACACAAATCCGAATGATCGGTCACAAAACCGCCCGCGAAGAAGGTATGTTTTCAAACTTTCAATTGTTCACTTATTTCGAGCATACCTATGTACATTTTAATTGATGGGTAATGTGTATGTATGACGTATTTTGAATTTGTGAGGTATATTGCATTGAATTTGTTGTGTGTATTTGTAATCGAAATGCCGGAATCTAGAAACGGTTTTTAATGTTTTCTTCAAAAGTGGTTGTTCATTTGTGAATTATGGAATGGTATTGTGTCGTTTTGTACGTGTGTTGTTGATTTCTGATCTGTTGGAGAGGACCTATGACCTATATGTCGATGTTGTGTCTACCTGGATTCCCATCTGTGACCAATTGATGAGTTTCATTGTGACCGATGTTGCAGGCCCGGAGATATACTATACCCAAGAATAGTTGGTTTCCAAGTAAAAATACAATTACCCCTGTGAAAGGTGTGCTGTCAAATTTCAAAAACAATCTCAATGAAGCCCAACATCGAATCCTTGAGAATACATGTTTCTCCCATTTCCTGGAATGCGAGGAAATTGTTATCCGGTCTCAGCTGATACACTACTTTCTGTTGAGGCAGGTGCAACAAGCTAATGAGAGTGAGCTGTGGTTTAACATAGCTGGAAGATTTGTACGGTTCTCAATTTCAGAGTTTTGTTTGGTGACTGGTCTGAGATACGTTCGCGATGCTGACACAAGTAGGATGGAGAAGACTCCATCACAATTGAAAAATTTGTATTTTCCAATGCTGAAAAATGTTACTCATGAAGACATCAAGGAAGCATTTCTTGGTGCAACTGACATTTCGGATGAGGATGTTTCCATGCTAGGTGCATGTATTTCATAATATTTTATCTACATCCGAGAGACTACAAGAAGGCTGTGGATCACTTCTTGTTTGTACTAGTTGAAGATTTTAATGCGATGAATGTGCTCCCATGGG